TAAAAGTCAAACGATGGAATTCTTCAATATTTTTATTGTTATAGAATATAAAAAATTGCATTAATTTTTCTAATCATAGTTACCAAAACTACGATACTTTACTTTAAAAACTTTCATTCGAAATGATTTGGAATTTGTCTATTTAAAATGGCTTCTCAACAATATAAATCATGTTAAAAACCTGAAACTTCGTCTTGGAAGTGGTGAATTGTATGAAACAAAGCAAACAATATGGACATCTTTTATTGATGCAAATTTTTCTTCGACAATATTGTTTATCTGACGTAATAGATAGTATAATAGATTTTAATTTTTATATTTCTTCTTATTGTCGAGTATTATCAATTGATGCTGGACAAATAATTAATTCATTTCAATTTCATCCTCTTTTCATTGATCGTCAGTGGACAAATGTAAGATATTTTTATGATCCAACAATATCATATCAACATATATTTTCTACAAATGTCAACACTACACTTCAATTCTTTAATGGTTTAGTGTAAGAGATTTTTCTTGATGAGAATTTCTATGAGTTCTTAATTCAATTATTATTATTTTTTATTTCAGTAATTATCCGTATCTTTTTGAATGGCCAAATATTCGACATATTTCGATTAATTTTCATCCATCATTTTATATATTTCTTGAAAAACTTGATGAAATATTTCCCAATGTCTCTTCTATCACAGTTCGTATGGGTAAATACATTATTACTTCTAAATTTTTCTTTTTAATCTCTGCAAATTTGACATTGATTGAAGAACTATTCATCGAATAGAACAAAGATTGCACCAAATTTAGTTTCAAGAATTTGAATTGGTTAGTGAAGAAAATTATTTCACTGAAACAAATCGCATATTTAAGATATAATCATGAATATTCTTTCAGAAAATCTAGCACAATGAATTTCTATTTGAGTATGTGATAATTTTAATTCAATTCATAAAATTAAAATTGTTCGGTCAGCTTATGTTTATTTAAAAGGGCTTCTCTCTCCAAACGTAAGTTCTAGAATAATCTGTGGATATTTAATGTTTACCTCAAAAATGACATTTTTCTATATTGCTGATACTCCACTGCTGCAGCGTTCGAAAAGGCTGAAAAATAAATTTCCGCTTTTCGAGCATTCACATGTATTATTTAACCACAGATTCAGTGCCGATTATCGATATATAAAAAGTTTTATTGAATATGTTGAATATTGTGAAAATAAAGTCACCATACTATGTCTTTTATATAAGAAAACAGGCTATTTTTGTGAATAATTCTACATCCTAACAGGAAGCCCCTACTTCTCCAGAAGAAGTGTACTCTAAAATACAGAGAGTCTATTACTGGACAGCTTTTGAGAAAGTTTCACGTTGGTACTCACTTGTTCTTCCGGCATAAGGTTAAGCACACTAAAATGCTATT